GTGGCACCGAATTGGTTAAAGCATGGAGAGACTGCAGCGAAACAGGAACCTGCAGGAAACTACTGTAGCAAACCGCAAAAAAAAAACAGGGACGGAGCAAGAGAAGAGGGGCAACAGAGAGCTTTCTTCGCGTGGCAGAAATTTTCCACTTTCCTTATTTTCGTCTCTACTTCCTTTACATAGATTGTAATATATACTATAGGAGAGATAGGGATAAGATTACAACTCTAATCTTTATCCAATACCTAGCGAACACCTATCCTAACTAGTATACTCTCTACAATTTAGAACTACTATCTAACCCAATCCTACCAGATTAACAACTCACATTTCCTCCCTCTAATCCTGCGACCGAATTCCAACGTCCTTACTCCTAGCAGTCTCTCGCATCTCCGATCGAACTTCACCCTTGCTAGTGCCTTCCCGTGCAGAAGTATCTGGCTCGCTTGCTCTGCTTCGCTGCTTGACGCAACTCCACTATTATCTGTCCTCGCTACAACCACACTCCACGAATGAAGTGAACAAGTGTGTCGATATGTTGGCTTCTCTCCATCGGAAAAACTGGATTCTTCATCAGCGCAATCCTGCGTATTTTGTTGTCGAACCGAACGTAGTGTGACCGGCCTGGGCCTCATCCCAATCACCTGCGCTGATTAAACTCCTTCATCCAAAAAGCCCTTGCATGCTGTGCCAGTTGCCGCCATAAATTCTCGCTCGCAGGATATAAACGCCACCGTCTTCCTTTTTGTGATGTCCCAAGCTGACCAAACGTCACCTACGATACATGCATGGGCCGCCTGTGCCTGCGCCTGCTCGGATCAACATGCCCCCGAAGATGCACTCAGTCAGTGAATCCCACCAACCTCTTCATTGCTCGACCTCGTTTGTGACACAATCCGTAGGACATTAGTACCTTTCACGTTACCCTCAAAATATGCTTCGACAAGCCTTCTATGCCAGAAACGTGTAGGCGTGCTCCCATGCTACCTACTCACAATTCCCCACGGCACTATTTATCATCTCGGCGTGTGAGTTAGATACCTCAAAGATCCGATTATATCCGTCTATTACTCCGTCACGTCCACCGGCTGTCCCTTGCAGAATTCCTTGTCCAAGGCTTTAGCTTTGTTTCCATCAGGACTCATTGCGTCGGGTTGCCAATCC